AAATGCGATCATGGCGTAATAGCCCATAAAATACGTGCTAAAGGAATAACTGGGAAAGTGGGGAGATGGATCTTCAACTTCCTAACAAATCGAACACAAAGAGTAGTGGTCAACAGAGTTAAATCGGAGGCTGCCATAGTGAAGAGCTCTGTTCCACAAGGCACAGTACTCGCCCCCATCTTATTCCTTATCCTCATATCAGACATAAACAGAGATATACACCACAGCACCGTATCATCCTTTGCGGATGATACTAGGATCTGCATGAGGCTGTCATCTGCTGAGGACGCGGTTAACCTCCAAGAAGATATAAACAAAGTTTTCCAGTGGGCAACGGTAAACAATATGATGTTCAATGAGGACAAATTCCAACTACTCCGTTATGGAAAACTGGAGGAGATAATAACTAGAACAGAGTATACTACTGACTCCGGCCATACAATAGAGCGGAAAAATAATATAAGGGACTGGGAGTAGTAATGTCTGAGGATCTCACTTTCAAGGATCACAACAGTGCCACGATCGCACGTGCAAAGAAAATGATAGGATGGATAATGAGAACTTTCAAAACGAGAGATGCCAAGCCCATGATGATCCTTTTCAAACCACTTGTTTTCTCTAGGCTGGAATACTGCTGTACATTAACATCTCCATTCAAAGCAGGTGAAATCGCAGATCTAGAGAGTGTACAGAGATCCTTTACTGCACGTATAAGTTCTGTCAAGCACCTTAACTACTGGGAACGCTTGGAAGCACTTGACTTGTACTCGTTGGAACGCAGGAGGGGGAGATATATCATAATCTACACTTGGAAAATCTTGGAAGGAATGGTCCCAAATCTGCACACAGAAATCACTCCCTACGAAAGTAAAAGACTGGGCAGGCGATGCAAAATGCCCCCAATAAAAAGTAGGGGCGCCATTGGTACACTAAGGGAAAACACCGTAAGTGTCCGGGGCCCAAAACTGTTCAACAGCCTCCCATCAAGCATTAGGGGAATTGCCAATAAACCCCTGGCTGCCTTCAAGAGAGAGCTGGACAGATACCTAAAGTCAGTGCCGGATCAGCCGGGCTGTGGCTCGTACGTTGGACTGCGTGCGGCCAGCAGTAACAGCCTAGTTGATCAGGCCCTGATCCATCGGGAGGCCTGGTCATGGACCGGGCCGTGGGGGCGTTGATCCCCGGAATAACCTCCAGGTAACCTAATGTAATTTTTGTCGGCTTTGCTCGAGTATTAGTAACTTGTAAATTCTGCTGTTGATTTATGAAGTGTTTCACGGATTCTTCTAAAAACACTTTGAGCTAAGCTGGTACAAGTTGCTATGCAATCATCAGGGTTGTAATTTGGTTTCGGGTTAGAATAAAACAACTCATAAGACAAACGTTTATCTACACCATACAACGCAAAATGTGGAGTGTCACCTGTAGAAACATTGTAAGCAGAATTTATGGCACACTGAACAACAGGTATAACTTCATCCCAGGTTTCACTATTGGGATTGACAGTAGCTCTCAAGACATCAAGTACTTTCTTATTGGTTCGTTCCGCTAACCCATTACTGGCAGGATTGTGAGGAACAATGGTAGATTTAGAGATCTTGTACAAAGTACGTACACAAATTTTCAAGAATCTCATTACAGAATTCACCTCCATTATCGGTTACTAGGGACTTAGGAGTTGTATGCCTGCAGATGATGTGTTCTTTAAACGCTTTAGCTACTGTCTCGGCAGTCTTATCTGCGATAGGAACTAACTCTCAATATCTGGTGAAATGATCTACCATAACACACAGATGTTTGTTGCCCTGGAGGGAACATTGGAAATTAGTTAACAGATCTAGCGCAACTCTACTCCTTCCGTGTCAATGTATCTTCCTAGGATGGAGCCTCATCCGCCGGAAACAAAAGGCAATTTCCCCAACTCGCCCGCCTTCCTTCATGTGACCATCCCTGCGGGAGGTGTGGGACGGGCTGGGCTGGGCGTGTTGTCCTGCTAAAAGTCTTAACAGGTCAGGCCATGTTAAGGGATAAGGGCGAGGAGGAGGGACAGGTTCTACGACTTCATCCAACCACATTGTTTACTGTTGTAGACCTAAATCTGCGAAGAATTTTAAGTTTCAACTTTTTAGCAGGCGAATCTCGGGTTTTCTTTATATTCCAATGACTTTTCTTGTATTTCTACTTCTACTTTTGTTCCGGCTCTGTTACTATTTTTTTTTTTTGTAGGCTGAGGAGCGGCGGAGCTGTGATATTTACTTGAGTGATAGCGATCGTACACGAGACCCGGTCTCTCTCTTGATCAATAGTCATGGGGGAACCTGTTCTTATAGTGTTGACATACACTAGTAACTTCCTGTTAAAGACAAAAGCATGGTAACGTCATGTCCAAACGAAGTGGTGAACATTGGTCTCGTCTCACCAAGGGCACTGCCAGTCCAGACACTGACGTCGTCTCCTCAAAAGTCTGCCGTTTTTTCTTGGCCTGAGAGTATTGTGACGTGGTTGTCAGTGGCCCGCTGCCACTTGTTGGAGTTGAGCTTGTTTACAAACCTTAACCTAATAAAATAAATCAAGTGATCCGGGTCTTTGACGTGTAGAGAAAGTAGTCCGAAACTTGAAGCCTACTCTTGAGTTTAGGCCTACAGTAAAACAACTTTATACCGCATGTGAGACTTGAACACAGTTGCAGTGTGTAGCCGTTGAGCAGCAAATATTGTCAACGTAAGTACAAAATACTATCAGGATAAATTTCGTGGTCAGCAGTATGTAACCCTGTAAGTGGAGATGCTTTCTGGGGTCTGACGACACGGATCAGTGCTTTTGGAAGTTATATATATGTTGCATTTTGTGATGACCTGTATACGACCCTGGCTCTTGACCAACCACCCCTCACCTCCCAGCCCGCAACTCCACTTGGCAAGCCTATTTGATCACTATTGGCTTTTATCAAATGAAACCGCAGAACTCATTAAGTTATTTTCACTGTTGACACTACCAAACTTCGTCTTATTTTCCCAGGAGCTGCATGACTTCTGAAGGTTTATCCCTTCCCTAAATATAATAATAATAATAATAATAATAATAATAATAATAATAATTAATAATAATCACATTGGGATTCAAATTTTTGATAATGGATAAGAACGAGTGTAAGAGGGCACATCAAGTGTCCCGCTTCCCTTTCTTCTAGCTGTGATGGCCCACATGTAAGGGAACATTAGTTGTATAGCCCTTGTGGTTTAGCGCTTCGTTTTTATTATAATAATAATAAAGAGAACATTAGGTGCTGAGCAAGGACACCTCCACAACCATGTATCCTTCCCTCCAATCCTCCTTCCTTCCCCTCATCCATCCTTCCTTTCCTCCAACCATCCTTCCTTCCTTCCCCACAACCAGGCTAACACTCGGCACGTCTTCCTCTAAATTGTTATAAACGAGGTCTGCCCAGATTATTTGCGGCATCCTCCGTCCTCCTAAGGTGTTTCCGGCGTGCTTCGTTATACCAGATTTTCGGCTCAGGTCTGCGAGAGGCGGTGATGCTTTGACGTGTCTCTGGTAAACCCTGGGATGCCTACCCGACCATGTTGTCTAGCTTCGACCCCTCCTGGGAGGTTCCTAGACACCATTGAGCGGCTCTTGGTCTAAATAATTGAACCTTTCTGTTTTTTGGATCGAACCTGATTGCCTTTCATTTCCCTAGGCGCTGTATGACTCCCACGGGCTTACCGCTCCCTAATTATGTCTTAATGATAAATTTTTAACTTGAAAATTACTCCGCTTCTGTTTTTCTCAAAGATATATCGTCGGCCGAAGGAAGGAACCATCACGACTCACGAAATCGTAATAACACGATTGCTAACAAATCACGAAACGGGTGGGTCTTGAACCCATGGCGAGTGAATCTTACACGCACTGGCCAGTGATCTGAAGGACGGTGGTGGGTGCTGTTTACTTAGTTATTGGTCAGGCCAGCAACCAGGAGGCCTGGTTATGCATCGGGCCGCGGGGGCGGTGACCCCTGGAAGCTTCTACAGGTTAACCACAGGTAACCAGGTAGTCTTGAGGCTTGTGCCAAGGGATAAGAAAGAGGGGGTTTCGACCCTCGATAGTCGATACACGGCGACAGGCTTACTAACCCTTTCGAGGAAGGACCCACCTAAACCACACAAAAATATTTTTAATATTTTAATAAATCTGAATGAATCAAACGTTAATCCATTGTTATGGGTTTCGCCGTGGTTGCGTATGTCTTCAAAAATTGTACAATTTAATCATGTCCAGTTTATCTTGTGGAATTTTTGACGATTAGGAGCAAGTTGGGGGGGGGGAGCATATTGTGGCTAGCGACTGGCTCTGTGGTGTGGGAAACGTTAAGTGCTTCCCAGTTTATATCCTGCCATCCAGTTCATGTACCCTGCCACCCAATTCATGTGCCCTGCTACCGAACTCCTGTATTCTGCCACCCGGGTTATGTACCCTACCACCCAGTTCCTGTATCCTTGCCTCCCAGTTTCTGTACCATGCTACCCTGTTCCTATACCCTGCCACCCAGCTCCTGTACCCTGCCACCGGGTCATGTAACCTGCCACACAGTTCCTGTACCCTGCCACCCAGTCTTCTATCTAAAATTGTGAAATAAAAAACACTGTACATAAATCCAAATATTTTAATTTTTATATTTATAATTAAAGTTACAACATTCATTGAGGAATAATTCTGAGGTTGATTACTGTTTGACGTTTCGCAACAACTCAACTAAATTATTCGATGTTATTCTTAGTGTATTTTTCAGTTATTTGGTGTATTAGATATATTTAGTATATTCTTCACTTCAAAATTACTATACATACAAAACGTTCAGTAATCTGCAGGCCTCCGGGTTAAAGCTATATTTCGCCAGTACTCCAGTCATATTAGTACCTAAATTCTTAAAATAAGGATTAAAGTAAATCCGCGGTAACATTGCACTGCGATTTCTTATACTGAGTTTTCTCTTGCAGGACTGTCTAAAAGAGTGCCACCGTCAGATCGAAATCTGGACGCAGAACAACGGGGAGAGTCCTTCTACATCTACGTCTACCACCCCGACAGACATGCGGGAAGTTATGTTCTGACAGAAGTACCGACCCGCCAACCTCCCTGTTAACCCTCGCCGCCTCCCTGCACCCCACGTTGGGGGCAGTGACTCCCTACTGGGGTCTCCTGGGGTCAGCCCCAACACTGCCACATCCTGCAGTCGGTGACTAGGGGTTTGTGAAGCCCTCCTGGTTCCGACACCACCGGCATGGTTGTTGCTGCCCTGCCGGTGTTGGCGTGGGGTCTGCCGTCCCCACATCCCTCAATGGACGGCTGTCCCCACCGCGCCTACCGTGTGCACAAGCTAGTCGGGTCGCTAATTTATATCGGATATAAATTGACATTAGCTACTGCTATTGCTACTGCTGTTACGGGCATATATTTGCCCAATATGAGCGCTCCTTTCCCACTGTACGTCCCGCGGACACTTGCCACCCACTACTGTCACCACACAGCTTATTTTTTCCTTATGCTGCATTTTCTCCTTTGTAGGGTTTGATTGGTCTGTATTAAATTACTGAGGCTCATCAGTAGTTTAAACTTCCCTTTCACATACCTCGGACATTGACTGAAACATCCAGTAGCATCTTGCAACTGTTTTGTCCTTTTTGGAGCCCGACAGTAAAAGGAATTTCCATAGTGTCAGGTGTATTTAGTGATGCCTGTCTCCTAGAGTAAGCATTCACTCTTGGCACCTCCTGCATGGGCTGGTACATATGATGATGTTCGCGGGCTTCCTGTAGATGGGACCAAGAAGCCTTCTGCTGTGGGACATTTTCCATGAGCTGGAGTATCTCTTCGGAGATGGATGTCTGCATCGGCAGACGATCCAGCAGTTACCTGCCGGACCATGGAAACGGAAGCTATAACACAACTTGTATAGCCTCTTGCGCCCTATGCAGGATAGGCACCAAAACTGTGATTCATTTTCTACTAATACGAACATTATAAAATGCAAAAAATATGTACATGAACTGTAAGACTACTTTCTAAGATAAATTTGGATGTGATATAACATTAGAGTCGACACTTACGATTAAGGTCAGATGACAAGAGTAGGGTAAGCGTGAGAGATCCAAGAGCACAATGATTGGGCATTATTTGGTCCATTTATTGAACCATGCATGAAACATAATAGTGTTATGGTCATTATTTTGTTTCGTTAAACGTTGGCCCCTTTTGCTACCATGTGTAAGACATTACATTTCTTTCATTTGGTAAAATAAAGGTTCTGTAATCAAGCAGGGACAAAGGTTTACAAGTGGTCAATAAGACTGTCATTGTGTTCCATTTAGTGTGCCCATGTTAGAAATTGCCTGTGTGTGTTCTTAATCAGTGTCAAACTGTTAACATGAACATTTATGCTTAAAGTGCATTTCTTTACCAAGCTTTCTGATAAATATTATACCTTCTAATGTTGTCCAAGCCTAGATGTTTTATTACTCGCATCACTTTTCAACTTCATTATCAAGAAAATGTTAATCTTTTTTTTTTTTCACTCCCTCACATACGACATATGCTATTATATACATTTTCTCACATCAGTAAACACAACGTTGCCCAGGTATTCCCATACCTTATCTTCCTTTCATAACACAGGATTTTTTCTTTTTTTTTTTTTTTTCCTCCATTACTAGATCAAGGATGTTTATTTGTTATTTCTGCATCTTAGCTTTACTATTTATTTTTATCTCCAATTTTAGTTTTTTTAACCTTTTTGTTTCTATTTTTTATTTTCACTAGTCCTCCTTAATTATTTAAACAAATCTAGTGCGTCTTAAAGTATTCTGTATTCTGATCAAACCTGCACCGCAAGTTTTTTATGTAGGCAAGATGTGCTTAGCTCCCTTTTTTTTTTTTTTATAATGACTTATTTAAACTTATTTAATGCATGTTTGCTTTTCGTCTTGGGATTATTATGAAAAATTTTAAACTGGCTTGATAATGCTTGTAAGATGTGTTTCCACAGCAGTAGAACATGACTCGGTTAATCTTTATCTCTTATTTGTTTTTTATTCATGAGTAAACATTCTGTGCTTTGGGTATGATATTCCTGCAAATAACAGAGGCAGAGAACAAGAGCTTGTTTTGAGTAAAGCTTTGAAATAGTGTCTGTGTGTATGTATACACACACACACACACACACACGTTATATATATCAATACAATCACAGACAGGCAGATCTTAGCAATGCAAGACAAACCATGGAAGGCTGGAAATCTTCAGCTCAAGATCTTTCACACATTTCCATGCATCACCAGGAGCTATGCAGTGTTCTAAGAGCAGTAACAGGTAGTTTGGGAGAACGTTTTCTCAGAGGAAAGGTAGCATATTGATGCCAGGCTATTCCACCTCAGAAAAGTGGAATAGGCTGGCATGAACACACTACCTTTCCTCAGAAATTTTTTTCCCTCAGTTCACCTGTTTGCTGCTCTTGCAACCTGCATAGCTCCTGATCATGCACGAAAATGTGTAATATATATATATATATATATATATATATATATATATATATATATATATTATATATATATATATAATATATATATATATTATATATATATATATTTATTTATTTATTTGCATACTTACTGAGGTTTTAATACTTGGTACTGCATCCTTTATGCTTAATCATGTTCCTCAGCCATGTAGGAAGAGTCTCACACAAATTCTTGAGGGTTTGGGATGGTTTATTATTTGAGGCTTCATGTAGAACAGCATCCAGCCACAGGATGGAACTGATATCCTTGCCCAGTAAACTTCATTTCACTGTTAACCAGAGGTTCTCGATAGGGTTTAGGTCTGGGGAATTCTCTGGCCAGTCATTAAAGAACCTCACTTCACAGTCCTTAAGCCACTGAACTACAGATTTCGCGGAATGACAGTGCACCGTCCTGCATGAAAACCGTAGCCCTACACTTGTCAAGTGCCTCAGGTAGATTGTCGCACAATAACTCCAGGTAATTATACTGGTTTTTGGGAAGCACAATGAGTTTACCAACAATCTGAGCACTGAAACACCTCCAACCCATGAGCGAGTCTGGGTGTTTGGTGGTCCCACAGGTGTAGCGTGGGCCTAGTGTGTCACTATCTCTGGGCCGGTACACATGTTCACCATGGTTACAGGTGACGGTGAAGGTTGCTTCATCACTCCAAAGTACTTCAGACCACTGTTGAGGATTCCAGTGAAGATATTTCTTTGCATAATCCAGGCTACATTTCTTCTGTGGCTTGGAGAGGATCAGTTTCTTAACCTGGCGGTGACTACTGAAACCCAGTTCTGACACACGTCTGCTAACAGTTCTTACAGACACCTCAGAGAGAAGATGTGGGTTCTTTTTTTTCAGTTCTCTAGCAGTTACCTTAGGTGTACTCTAACTGCTTCTTTAACACAGTTAAGGTACGAACAGATGTCTTCTTCGAGGGGCCAAGCTGAGGTTTGGCAGACGGTATCTCGACACCGCCACCAGCCTTGAAACGCTGCACCCAGTTCCTCACTGAATGCTCACACACATCAACATTCTCACTACTTCTTTCGTCTGGTGCCCAGCTTTGTGAAGCCCTATGATTTGAGCTATAGTTTCAGGTGTTAAAGACTTCCATTTACCCATAATCAAACATGTATAGCCCCAAAACCAAAGGGAACACCGGACAAAAGATGGGGTGGATGAGAAAAAAAAAGTGCAACACTTCCTCTCACCATGGCAGCCACGTGAGCACTGAGGAGGCACTGTGGAGTGTGGCAGCAGGCCGTGACGCCATGCTAATGGCTGCTACCCGGCATAATGCACTGACAAAAAAAGACACCCTTGTATGGTAGGCCTTTGATTTTCGTCACGGCACTATGCAGGGGCACTCGCCTGGCATAATGATATATATATATATATTATATTATATATATATATATTATATATATATATATATATATATATATATATATATATATATATATATATATATATATATATATATATATATATTATATATATATATATATATATATATATATTATAGGTAGTAGGTTGGTAGACAGCAACACCCAGGGGGGTACTACCGTTCTGCCAAGTGAGTGTAAAATGAAAGCCTGTAATTGTTTTACATGATGGTAGGATTGCTGGTGTCTTTTGTCTGTCTCATAAATATGCAAGATTACAGGTACGTCTTGCTACTTCTACTTAGGTCACGCTACACATACATGTACAAGCACATATATACACACCCCTCTGGGTTTTCTTCTATTTTCTTTCTAGTTCTTATTCTTGTTTATTTCCTCTTATCTCCATGGGGAAGTGGAACAGAATTCTTCCTCCGTAAGCCATGCGTGTTAGTAAGAGGCGACTAAAATGCCGGGAGCAAGGGGCTAGTAACCCCTTCTCCTGTATATATTACTAAATGTAAAAGGAGAAACTTTCGTTTTTCCTTTTGGGCCACCCCGCCTCGGTGGGATACAGCCGGTGTGTTGGAAGAAAGAAAGATATATCTTTTCTTTCAACACACCGGCCGGATCCCACCAAGGCGGGGTGGCCCAAAAGGAAAAACGAAAGTTTCTCCTTTTACATTTAGTAATATATACAGGAGAAGGGGTTACTAGCCCCTTGCTCCCGGCATTTTAGTCGCCTCTTACTAACACGCATGGCTTACGGAGGAAGAATTCTGTTCCACTTCCCCATGGAGGTAAGAGGAAATAAACAAGAACAAGAACAAGAACTAGAAAGAAAATAGAAGAAAACCCAGAGGGGTGCATGTATATATGCTTGTACATGTATGTGTAGTGTGACCTAAGTGTAAGTAGAAGTAGCAAGACGTACCTGAAATCTTGCATTGTGTATGAGACAGAATAAAAAGACACCAGCAATCCTACCATCATGTAAAAGAATTACAGGCTTTCGTTTTACATTCACTTGGCAGGACGGTAGTACCTCCCTGGGCAGTTGCTGTCTACCAACCTACTACCTAGATATGTATATATATA